GACTAGGTCCATGTCGTGGGCTGTTGCCCATTCCATAATCTGGTTACCATTGTCGTACTGATTTGTTGCTAGCGGTTGCCAATGCTGTGACACAGAATTGAAATCGCCTTCAACAGCCACTAGTCTTCTAACTTCCCACCGGAGTAGGGGCTCCAAGGTTCCACTAGTGCCTGGGGCACGATATACATTGACAAAGGTCAGACCGCCCATCTTTACAAAACAGTAGTCAGATGTTGAGCCTGACGAGGGTGGAAATAATTGAGTCGTATGGCTACCTTTACGTATGAAAGTAATCGCGCAGGGCCAGATGTCTGTTCCTTCAAAAGGTATATGGTTATTATAGCCAGGGTGACTTTTTGTTATAAAACCCCCCTCTTTCTTTCTTTTCCATGGTTCCTGTACCATGACTACATGTGCACCTGCATCCCATGCCTGCTGCAATGCTATATCCGCATTTTCCCCACCTCTTCTCACATTGACTTGGTGAAAATGGACGGTGTTATGTTTGTCTTTTAGTGCTTTTGTTTAGGGGTTTCCTAACATTAACACGACATTGTTGAGTCCTGGGCAATGACGGTTTCAACCGCCTTACCCTCACTTTCTGAGTACGCTAGAGTAGCGTGATAATTACAATATCTGCGTTCTCTGATGATATGAAGTTCTGCGGGGGCACGGGGCAGAACTATCCCGTTTTGTCGTCTTGGCCGGGCCATACAGCTGCCCTCATTTTTGTGGTGGGGCCCAGCACAATTTGAACACTTTGACACCTTGGCCTGGCATTCTGATGTCTCATGGGTTCCCCCACATCTCCCACATCGTTGGCTTCGGGTGCAGGAACGCGTTGTGTGGAATCCCCAGCAACGTTGGCATTGCTCGATCGGTCGTCGGCATGAGAAGGGAATTGCCGGCCCGCTCTCGTCAAATAGACGAAACTTAACATTTGCTGGTTTTTGTTGGAAATGAACAATCCAGCTCGTTGAATATTGGCCAAGTTTTATGTCTGTGGGCCTTATCTAGATTGGTGTGGCACCATATACTGCTTGGCACTCGTTCTTCACCATGTCGTTGGTGACTGGGATGCTGCCTTCAAGCGTCCTGATGCATAGTGGCATATGAGGTACGATCAATGACGTCCATTTGGACGCTGCCTCAATCACAGTGTTGTCTTTCTGTAGGGAAGATGCAATCCTCATGATTGTATCTCTCAATGCGTCTGATGCGCATTTGAGAGCAATCCCCGACCTGACTGGGTACATGGACGTGATAGCGCAAGTCGCTATCCCAGCCTTGTCGGTAATTATTTTCTTGATTGTAACCGGTGATAACTTGTGCTAGTGGTCATCTTTCCTCAATCGTAGCAACAAGAGCTTGTCCTCCTTTGGGACTGTCTGATGTTTCGGGTCGCCTGTTGGTGCAGGCCTTCGCGGAATTTGCATGTTTGGCGGCGTCGGTAGCTTGGACGCTTTTTGGGCTACTGTCACCCAGGGCGAGCTGGTGTCTTGAGGCTTTGAGGGTAGAGCGTGGCTGTGATCCTCAATAGCTGTGTTGTTCCTAGGCGCGACTGGTTTGGGAGTGCTTGCCATGGTGGGGGGCTTCTTACTTGGAAAGTTTGTTACTTCTACCTGATCTACTGCGAAGGCAATGATAACAGGCGTGATGTTTTCCAGCAGAGTCGCGACGATTGCTACTGCTTGCTTCTCTCCTTAGCTCTTAGCCCAGGAGTCGATTAGTTCAAGAAGTTCCTGGGCTATACCCATTCTTTCTTTTCTTTGTTGTCCTGCTTTTTGCATTGCGTTTACAATGCTAAGCAGGCTTGGATGGATTTGCCCTCCTGGATTGGAGGGCGTTGTCGATGACGATGCAATAGCTGGGACTATTGCACCGGTTGGAGATTCTTGCAGAATGGGTAATGGGTAATGCGATGTGGGATGTGGGATGGGTCGGGCACACAGCAATGAAAACACCAGTATCTCAAACATATATGATAATATGACGCAGTTATATTTAATGACATAGTTGTTGAATGGCTGAATGGTTGGGAGTTATTGCTATTGATGGTATATTTTATGTATTATCCTTGAGTATAAATACTCGCTGCTAGACCTCTGTACATGAGCAAACTTTTCCACTCTTATATTCAATAGTCATCAATATAGCAGATCTACAATACATATCCGTCTTCACGTTAGACTTAAAGTGCTGTACTATATCCACCCAAGTTGACTGTTACACCCATTGTGACAATTCTTAGACTTCTCATAACCTCGTTATTACAATAATGACAGGGTCAATCTCTGTGATATCATAGATAATGAGAATGGGTGTGTTTTTTTGCATCAGATTTTAATTGCGTTTGTGTTGAAATTATGGAGTACAGAGATGAGTCAGGTGATGGTTGATGGCAATTATTGATGAAGGGTTTGGTTGTTGAGTTTCCTGTTATTTCTGTGTTGGAATACACTTTGAATTTGATTTCATTTAGCCCGATTTGGCGCCTTAGGGCCCATGCAGTTGTCTACAAACTCTAATATTTACATAGGAGGAAACCTTTATGGTAGAAACCCCCTCAACTTTTCAATTTACATACACTTTAAAGTCGAGTTACCTTCGCGAAGTGCACTAACACTGTTATGTCCAGTGCGGATACCTTCCACTTTATTGCTACTAGTAGGAGATCATCTTTCCCCTACTACCCTCTCTCTCACTCATCGTGGCCTCGACCTCAAGCGTCAGTCGAAACTACTCTAGCCTTCCTTTCTTTTGTATCCACTTTGTAATTCTAGCCATATCTTTCGGGTTATTCAGCATCTCTTCGAATGACCGATTCTCTGCCTTTCTCAGTATTTCTCCTCTTCCTTTGACCCAGTTGGAGCAAGCCATGATCATATGCTTGACGTTCTGGGACGGATATCCACATTGGCATCCGGGGCTGTCTACTCCGGAAACATGTCTTCTATGCAGATAAGAGTTGAAGCCAATGTGCTCACTTCTTAACTGCATGGCTATACTACTTTGGGCCCTGTTAAGGCTTTTGGGATACACTTGGTCGATTCTACTAGGCTCGATGATTAGTAGTCCCGACCGACTGGTGTTTGGCGAATGGAGAGTTCATATAAACTGTGTTAGCGTTGTTTACTGCTGTTAATAGGAGATTCCGCACGAGCTATTTATTTGGATTAAAAGGAGTATGGTACGTGTGTTTAGAAGAGTAGTCGAATTGACATCCTCTAATCCTTCGTGATTGCATAAGCTTCCCTCTACCAATAAGTCCACGAACTAAGCAGTGGGTTACACATTTCAATAGTACGCAGCTATCTAGCTATGACACAATATCAAGGAAAAGTACAGAAAAGATGACTCAATTTACAAGAGGAGCACTCATGCCTCAGACTTCATTTGCAAGTACCACTGCGAAATTATGGTGGCTTTTTCTTCACCCCAAGTCAACCCTCATCCGTGAATAACCACCCAGGGGAACGTCTGAAAAGCCCTGAGTTATCCAGACATGCCTCCATCATCCATCAACTTTCCTCCGCGCGAAATATGGTCAAAAATGACTCCTTCCCAAGTGGAGTAGGTGCCCAGGCTACTCAAACTATAACGGAAAACACCACCAGGAGATGGACCACAACACCTTCCATCGTTTGCTTGTTTTTATAGTGTCAGCTGCACTCTCTCAGGCGAAGTCTTGGCGCGCACAAAGCTCAATTCGTAAGGCTCCCCGCCAAAATTCAGAATTTCACGCCCTTCGAGGTTATATCCTTCCTTTGCATCATCTTGTAAACTTGTCCTGATCCCTCTCACCTCCATCCCAAAGAACTGTCTCCCAGATTTGTGCGCCACACTTTGCTCCCTCTGTCAGGTACAAATATCGGCGTGGGCGTGTATCTAGCGACCAGCTTAGGCCAGAGAATAGTCGACAAGAGGTGTGGTCATTGGGGTGAGGATATACTTGTAGACTTGATTAGACTTAGGTAGGAGTCAAGCTCGTTAGGAGCGAAAAAACGACGTGGTGGAGTAATTTGAATCATTGTCTCGTGGGCCAACTTCTTTGATATTGCGAAGTTTGACTGAACTTCGCTCTGGGGGAATATTTCACTCCCAGGTTCGTAGAGGACACCGCGTACAGGTGTTCAGTCTTGCCCTCTCAGAATGGATTTGCTAATGCAGAAGTGGTGACTGATAAAGATGTATTTGGATATAGATATCTGTATATGGACGCCCCTGAAGCTTTGAGAAAACCTGAGCCAACTTAAGTGGCTAAGGCATAGAACAAGCCTCAGGCCCACATGAGGAATTGCTCCGACAGCTTGCTTGCAAACCGTGTATTCTGGGAAACCCTTTAAAGGACGCCGGTTGAGTTCACAAGGCATCAGAATTAACACTCATCGGTAACTACTCTTATCCAGGACGTGCGAGATATTATGTTTCAGGAGTTTACAGTATTTTTATCGAATTCGCAACATAGAGTAGGCTGAAAATTATTTGAACTTCAATTTATCGACATATTTCTCTACACAGGCAATTAAAATTAGACAAAAAAGACTGAGGCTGTCAATAAATACTTTGACGTACCAAAACATTGGTCTTCCTTTAATTCATGACGATAAATGAACCGATCCTAAGCTGATAGAAACAAATTTACTCATATTTTTTGTGGTAAACAGAAATATCTATTCAAAAAAGAACTCAAACTTTTCCTGTAGAAATATCACCTTGATATGTAAAAGCCAACCGGTCTTCCTCTTAACACCTAGCTCCTTTTGCTTAACTATAAATAAAATTAAGGTCAAAAATGGTTTGCAAGGCCCAGAAGCAACAAATAAATATTTTTCCTTATTATATAATCACGCCTTTATGACAATTCCCACCCCATAGTGTTTCGTATATTGTGACCAATTATAGGTCACACAAGACGACCTTTCTATTATTACAAGCTATGTCTGATATTTTATCAGTTGAAATTGTTATTATTTTGCCCAAAATTAGTGTAAAGCAAATTAATCGCCAAAAGAGGCACTGGGAAAATTTTGACAGGCCACAACTGGCTGATGTCGTAGGCCATTTTTACGGCTAGTTAAGTTGAGAATTTTCCAATCAATCGCTAATGCCGATGTAGGACTGCCTACCAGCGCAAGAAATCCCAGAGTCTTTTCTACAAGCGTAATAAGCTCATTTTTAGTGATAAGCTCAAGCAAAAGTGGATTCAAAATCGGATTCATGTATGCAGCCTGTAGGGTGAGCATGTTCCCCCATTGCCTGAAGCCTGTTAGTTACATTAAGATGGATTTTTAAGATCTACTAACGCGTGAGCCGTTCCCCAGACATTGGTCACGATAATTCGTTTCTCGCCTGGATCTCCGAGGCCGTGGAAAGCGGTCGTACTATTGATTAGTGCAATAAGCCCCAGGCGAACATACTCTAAAGCCTTCGGATCAATATCTTTTACCTCTTTAATATCGTGTCTAACTATTGGTGCCTTAACCTCGCTGAGATATTCATCTGAAATTTGTTCATTTTGACCATGCATGGTCTCTGGACATGGTGGTTCAGAACGTTCAAGGACCTGAAGAACAAAAGGTCGATATGTGATAACCTGAGCTCCATAATACTTTGCACGCAGCCTAGCCCCCAGAATATCGCTGGGTGGTTCAGGTTGGTCAACCATCCACCTCATCGTAGGAGCGTAGACTTCGATGCCGTTCAGACTTTGGGAAAGGAGCTCTATAGTTGGAAACTTGGGCTCGTCGCCTTTGTTATTGGCTAAAACTAGTGCTGTAAATCGGTCTTCTAGTAAAATTCAGTCTAGCTGTAATTTAAATTTTCCCACTGGGAACTTTGACATACCAGAGTTTGGGTCACGAGGCCTATAGAACATGCAGTGAAGAGAGTTGAGGTGCTTCCGCAAAAATAGTTGTGCGCTGTAACTTTCAATAACATCCTGTTCAAACCCATCTTCACGGTGTGCTGCCTCAAGATTTGGTCCAGGCATATCCTCTTCAAATGTTAGAATACCTGTTTGAGGACAGGGAATTTCGGCAACTATATCGCTACAAATCTTCAAGTTAGTATATAAGGTTCCACATGTAGTTTTTACAACAGGTACCTTTCGAGTTGTAGACATGTCCAAAAGGCGAAAATTAGTGGATTATCCTTAGATTCAATGATCTTTTGTTCATCGATAACTTTTCTAAATCGATCTAAGCGCGGTCGAAGTATAACTTGGAGGGCGCGACACGCATTTGATATGTAAGCTGCGCTTTCCATAATCCGTGCAAGCTGAGCATGGTATAATCCAGCAAGAATATTGGCATGGACATGTTGCAGTGAGCTACCGGCCATTTGATTGCCGAGAATGTCGGTTGCGAGAGCGAAGTAAACTAATCCCGGGATCACATCAATATTTCTAAGTCCCAAAAGCTTTCTATCGCGGCGAGACGTATCAGGTGATGTTCTTCGACTGCAAGATGTTTTATAATCTGAGTCAGGAACTTTGTTTGTACCAAAGGAAACATTTACGGAAGGGTTCTGGAACTGTGGGGAATTTGGAAAGCCACTGACTGTTGGTGAGTTGTCGTAGATATTGAAATGGGAGGTGTAAATCTCTTGGTCGCCGTGTAGTTGGGGAATTTTCCCCTTATCCAGGCATATCTTTCCTAGAGCCATACAAAGCAAAACTATAGCAGATGAGATACTTCGAGCCGGATTCCTAGATCGATAATCATTTCCTGCATTCATTTCAATCTTCTCAACTTCAGCTGGTGACCTCTTCCTTTTCCTCCCCGGGCTCTCCGAATGGTGGATCATTGCTACCAGCGGAGCTGATTGTGCAGGTTTCGGTGTATGCCCACTATCAGGTGTGGACCGTAGGAAATTTTCGACTATTTGGTCTAGTTGTCTAGGTATGAGGAGAGGATGCATGTTATTTATATTTTTTTTAAAACTGAGCACTAGAGACAAGACTGTCTCCCGACTAAAATCTGGTATGCTCTCGGTTGTTATTCCGCGAGGTGGAATTTCATGTAGATATATGTCAGTCGAAGGCGATGGAAATCCAATATGACCCCATTCTTCACCTGGTACGGGTGAAAATAATTCGGGAAGGCAGTCAGCTGGTGAGATATCAACATGATCAATCGCAAGCTCTCTATCATACCCTGCAGGATTTTCGTAACCTTCCCCTCTTCCATAGAGCCTGAGAAGGCCACGCTTCCACTCTTGCAAATATGGATACTTTTCACTTTTAAATTTAGAGTGAAGCATAATATCAGCACACATTTTTTTAATTGGTGGAACAAGAAGAAGTCTTGCTGCCCCAGTCGTGTGATTTACAGGGATAGAAGGCTGTTTAGGTGGCCCAGGTTCAGCGGCAGCGTCATCATCCTCATCTGAAGTGTTATTGGTATCTTCTATGTTAGGAGTAGGGATGGGATAAAGATCCAGTCGATCGCTGGCTAATGACGGGATAATAGAAAGTTGGGGAGGCCGAGAGGGATCCGTTAATATAGAGGCTTCAGAAAATTCAAAGTTATTAGCGTTACTGTGAATTGAATCTCGCTCCTGTTTTATCTGAGTCCTTGGAGTGGATGCAGATGGGGCTAGGCTACGCTGAGACTTTTTCAGTTCAATCACTTCATTGGTCAAGTGATCTATTTGGCGAGTAAATTTATGCATGACAGCTTCTAATCGGTTTAGACTATCGATAATATCGGCAGATGCCTTATCTTGTCTTTTCCTGGATTAGTACGCAAGCAATAAAGATTAGAGCATTAACCTACTGTTTAGGAGGTGGATCACGATATCGACAGTCTTTTCCATTCTCTCTACAACTTGTACAAGCTGGACGGCCTTCATCACACTTAGCCTTTGCAGTACGACAACTATCACATGCCTGTGCTGCCCGCTGCGCTTTTTTCCTTATTTGCTGGTCCGCTGCTCGGATCGAACCATATGCGGGATGGATGTATTGATCTAGGTTTCGCGGTGGTGGTAGTGGACACGAAGTAGGAAGACCCGAGGCCCCATAAAGATGACCGAAAGGCTCAGCGATCGGAATAGGCGTTGCTGAATAGGAAGCGGGAGGGTATGATTGGGATCGTCCAGTTTCGTAATTCGGCACCGCTGGATTAAAACGACTTGTGGAATCGAGGGGTTGAGGGGCGTTTACATTGTCACTTATGATGCTCGTGGGTGAAGGGCGAAATTGAGAGTCATCGGGAGGCTCTCTCTTTCCCATCGAATCTCGATTGAGGACAAATGATTGTCCGGCTGTCGGAAGGTGATAACTATGTGATACTGAACTAGATTTCCTAGTAGCTTGTGTTTCGTAAGTTGGTGCAACTTGAAGTGTTCGGCGATCACATTCCTGAGCATCGAGTCGAGGAAGTGGAGTTACATGTGAGGCGTACTGAACAGAGGATTGCAGAGAGGCGGAAGGTGGTGGCGGCGGAAGTTGACGTTTTGCTGAGTCCTGCCATTGTGGTACTGGGTATCTACCGAGCCGGGCACGCTTCTGGTCAGGCGGAGTGAGATCCATCATGACGTTTTTTCATATCCTCCACACTCTTACAGCAGTGGCCATGAATGATCAAATGAGATGATGCTCAAAGCAGGGTTTGTGCTTACCGGACTATGGCCGGAGACGATAATTCGAGGATGATCATCTGCGCTTGTACATCGCACGGAGGAGCATTTAGCATATGTTGTTGGCTGATCAGAGACCACCGTCGCATTGATTAATAGGATAAGAGGGCCTGATGTTTTGATGAGGGTTAGTATTACCAGTGGCACAGGGCACGAGGTCGAAATTCCATGGGTCAACGAGAAGCCAACGTAATGGAGGGGCAGACGTTGGTATAATCCTCGTCTAGAGAAGTATTTGATGTTAGGAAAGGTAGGTTGCGGGAGAGCAGCGCTATCCCATGTAATGCAATCGTTTATTCGCTCACCATGTTAGTTTGGGTCTCAAAAATATGAGGACCTTTTTATCAAACACATGAGAGCCCCAGGTATTCCCTGATTAGGCCGGATCGCGAGATGAAGGCCGGGATGGCAAGTGATTTGACGGGCGTAAGACTCCACGTGCAGGGTAAGACATTAAAAGGCTGAGTCACGGAGACTTTTAAGACTAGGACAGAGGCCAGGATGAGGCGGATTGATAGCGGAGGGTAATCAGTAAAGTGTCCCCTTTTCGGCTAAGCGGGCTTATCGTAAGTCGAAGTTGAGGGGGTGGAGTAAGGAGTGTATATGCCGTTTCGAAGGGCCAAATAAAATGTCCCTCATGTTGTGGGGTGGAATAGACAAGGTCGCGGGTGATAGTTGTCCACGGGGTGGATTCTGCAGGGAATAAAAACAGGGGCATATAATCGTAACTATTATGAGGGAGAAGGAATAGCTAGTGATTGAATGTCGCCTACTGAACGTAGGCTATGACGAGAAGACCGAGTAATCCGGTTGGAACAGGCACGAAAACCGAAAAAGACAACAGAGACAACAGGCTAGATCCTCTGATTATTCCCTTGGAGTAATCATTAGCGATAATCCAGATGTTTGGGTGTTTGAACCACAAATCAGTAATAACTGGCCAGAATCTCCAGATTACGGACATCTGTGAAAGAAATAGCGTGACGTTCGATAGCTTGATGGCATATTGACTCATGTGAAAACAGTTCAACGCCGGTGTTGCTGTTAAAGCAGTTAGGAATAATCGCTTACGATTGGAAGAAGAAACCATGCCGAAAGGAAAATTAATGCAGAAATAGGAGATGAGGCCCTCCGATTTCCGAATGACTGGGATCCAGGTCATAGGTATCAGATCCTACACGAAGGCTAGGACCAGGTTGGGAGCCACCCCAGAAAAAACCCCCGAGTTGACAGAATTATCATGCTCGGATAACTCCCCTAGTATCGCGAGACCTATATGAATTAGCAATCAGATCTGCCGCAAAAAATCTATCTGCCTGATGTGACTTTGAAAGATATCACAATCCTCAAATAGACCGTCTGCCATGCGCGCAATATCGTCTTGACCCTCTCAGATTCAACCAACAATTCAGGGAAAACAGTGATTGATATGATATACGTCGTGAGTTGGAAGCATTCTTGCTAAAATTTGTGCTGAATGTCAAATGAGGCGCAATCCGGATAAATTAGGTTAAGTCAATTTTTGATAACTCCTTGCAGCTTAGTAAAATCTTACAGGAATCGGTCATTCGATTTGATGTTTAATAGAGCTAAGGCGGTAAGCTGTTCTCCTCTTGGTATTATTAAAGGTATTTTTTTCGCTCAGTCCTCTAAGTAAATTTTGAAAATGAGAGATCCCTGTCGCGCAAGACTAACTCCCGCATCGTCTGCCCCTGTATTTAATACACATAGACTCAAGTAATTGTAATATAGATCCCCATTCATACCGCTATATAATTCATTACAGCGCCCATCTTCCATCGTCATTGAGCGTTGACCTTTTCAAAAAGAATCCTGCAGTTCTTTTTTCCACAAGCCCTGGCTCATAGTTGCATTCACTCGACTAAGTTAAGCTATCCATACCCACAATGAAGTAATTATGGTTTTGTAGTCGTCTTTGCAAATTTTAATCTCTCAAGTACATGGACATCGAACCTGTTCATAATTTTTTTCCTAATTATTTTGGCAAATAGATAATCTATTCAATAAACACTAGCAACTTCAATCAATTGACCGTTCGTAGCAAAAAACGAGCATCAATCTGCCCTCAACTTTCAAGTTCTAATTATCCGCCTGCTGACACGTTTCCTTTGCTTCGCAGCTGAACATTTGCTGATAAACAATGTTTGTATTCCACGGTATGAATTGACTGGCCTGCCTCTCCCTGCTCTTGCTGGCGCGTCACAAATATGCATCATGCCGCTCACAAAGCAAGCGGTGATAATCACACCCTTAGCGCGTATAGCGCTGTGTTCGATCCAGGTAGGTGATTCATAATATATTTAAGCTTTTATTCATGCATTAAGAATCTATGCAGTGTGGTAAGTTATATCCTAGATTGAATCATCCCTGTAAATCTAAGCCCATGAAAAGGGATACAGTAAGAACCCTGTGAAGCCGATCATGGTTAAGACGATATTGCCGTTTATACGATATATTTTCCAGAACGGACTCCGTTGTCATGCATTTACCGATCACACGATTATCATTCTTCAACCTCTTAATATCGTCTGAAAAAGGGTTTTATTGTTAGATTGGTGCTGATAATGCCGCAAAAAGAGGGAATTTCTGTAGAGCAACGACGTGCTGTGCGACGATGGGCGCACCGCCAGGTCCCAAAACCAACACAAAACATTTCATTGAGTGGTTCTTCGCTGAGTACGGCCATCGATTTAGCCAGTCTACAGTCTCTGAGTCCTTGAGCAACACCTTTGCGAAACTCAACGAAGCTCCATGTACTACTGCACTACATCAGCGAGCTGGACTAGATAATCATATCCTTTCAAACGATATCCTCTATATGACGATATTTTTCATGACCCCGATAACATCGTCTTAACAGGGGTCTTCCTGTAGTTCATCCTAATTTCTTAAGTCGAGGATTATGTCAAGGCTAGTATCCACTCTATGTTTACTAACGGGCACAGTGGAACTTCAACGCAGCGTAATCGACTTATCCTGCGAGGCATGTTTGCTGGCCCACTTTAAAAATCTGGGCATGCATCTTGTGATGTATGGAGATGCTGGATGTTATATACTCTGACTAGCCATTTATCGAGTAATTGAGGTTAATACCTGATTTATCCAGTAACGTTGCATAGAATTTCCGCACTGGCTGGTACTGTGTATTGACTAAACAAATAATTACGGCTTAATCTAATTCGGTTCTAAAGTAGCTCGCTATCACGTTGATGTAAGCGCGAATGAAAGAGTTTGAATGAAGTCAAAGTGAGATTAGAGAGTACCATTTTTTCAACGCTACGGTCTACTATCCATACAATCAACAGTTGAGCCTTTGTCATATGGGATGGGAAGCTGGGAATTACTTACAAAAGTCCGAGTCTTTTCGCTGCGCGAATAGAGCGATAGCTCTAAACAAGGTTAGAATAAAGGCTGTTTGTGAAAAGCATTGTCACCAGAGTTTATTGCGCGTGAATCAAGGATAATCTTGTCTAAAGCAGATACTCATGGCTGCCTGCGAATCTGACATTATTTAGGTCCTGAGATGGATCTGAAATGACTAAAAAGGAAACGTACATTTTTTCATGGGTCATACCCGAAACTACTTTCTTAAGATACCCTGATTGTCCAAGTCAATTCTCACAGCGCACTTTTAATGAACAGTCAAATGTATAATTTTTTTATTCGGTTTTGATGTTAATTTGTTGGGTGCAAACTCCGCGGAGTACGCCAGAAAGGTCCATTCCATGTTATATGTTCTCACACCGCGCAAAGGCGCCGCGATTGATTGATTAGGATGCTCAAAGCCAAAGGCTGTTTAGGAGTAATCGTCCCCTCTTCGGTACATAAGAATTTTAGTTTTTTGTAGGGCCAACTCAGATTGAAAGCTAAGCTCGAGCCCGGGTACTGCTGGGTGGCTGGAGGTTTCCTTTTGCGAGATGGTACCTGCTCACTTGTAAGCACTAAGTAAGCCGAGGTCGTTATTTTGATATGTTATGGTCTCATGATCAGGGATACATCACATTAGCAAGTTGAGTTTGATGATCTGTTGATGTGCTGAGTAGCCTAGTCTCCGAAGAGTAATTCGAAAGTTTGAGCATTAACCTCTCTCGATAAAGTGAATTACTAGAAATCGCCATGTAAGATCTTGCCAAATCTCACACGTTACCCAAGGAGAGAATAATGGATGCCAGGTCCTATCTTAAAATGTAATGGAGTTCGTTAATGGTGGATGCACGCTAACGAGCATTGAGCGTATCCTGAAAAAAGTAAACATTACATGGGTGTTGAAGTACCTGTCAGCGGAGTCCTATATGAACCCCAGCTTTCACTGCATAGTTTAAGACCACAGATTAAGTCAAATATCTTTTCAAGTTTTAGTCGAGTTATCTCACCTTTCCTCAAGGATACGCATTCGACAAAAAATAAGATTATCAAGTAAATGATAATGATACAGTTAATGAGGAAAGATATTGCGGTACCAATGAAATAAAGCTACTAATAAAAGCCCTTCTCATATTACAACATGTGTTACTCACTGGCAGGCGAACATAAAACCCATGAAAGCAAAGCAAAAGACCCTTCCGCCTTCAAGAAATGCAGATTTCGCTCGTCAATAATATCGCCACTTCTAACCCTTAATTCCGAATCTACTAGGCAAGAGAGCATCTGAAATACATGAGTTACTCAACAATCCCACGTCCGTAACAACTTTCAGATGCTAGACTAGGCTCCTTCACGGCAGTCACTCTCGACCAAGACTTTTCTGAAATCCTTTCACGACCTTCGCTTTGTCCTGCGGCACGAATCAGGGTAGAAGTGAGGGTGAGGCTAGACGGTTAAGGATTGTTCTCACAAATGCACCGGTCTACTGCGCCCGGATGGCCAGCCTCATCG